CTACCCGCGTCTGGTGGTCGGATCGGATTAGAGATTGAAGACGAACCCATTTGAACATAAAAAACAACGTCTTAACCATTTGAATGGTATTTGAGAAATGCGGGGAAAGGCAAACAGAGTGGCTCGCCATTGAATGCCTCATTAAGAGAATTATTTTTGCATTCGGGTCTCAGACCTTGCGCATTTGGCGCAACATCTCGCGATAAGTTGTGAAAATATTTGCGTAAGTGAAACAGAAAGCGTCGACATACAGACACTGTCTATAAGGTTTTTTGGTTTGTCCATTTTGTTCGTATTTAGCTCTGCTCTACCTTATTTTCGTTCTATATTTTTGGCTGACGTAGAGAGATCGAAAGATCAACCGATGGCACACGAGGCAAAGTGTAAAGGGCAGGAAAATCTTTTCAGTTTTTTGCACCACTTGTTTTGGTTTTTTTTGGCAGCAACAAGTTTTGGGCTTTGTTTATTGTTCTAGACATTTAATGAGATAAATGCGCCTCATAAACTACTGCCAGATCCAGCGCTGAAACGAGATTAATGTCAAGTAAATAGTCGCATAACAACGCGAATCATCATCTTCCAACGCAACCACACTCCATATAAAAAAACAATGCAGGATCAGTTCGATTCAAGGTATCTGCACTTCAGCAACGGGCACTTTTTAATGGAAAACCCAATCCCATGAATGGCTTACTATATCCAGGTGTTTGCTAGACTTTCGCACTTTTTGTTTATGGGAATCAATTTCTATATACAATGCGACGACAGCCGTAGTTTAATGCCAGGCATTAAGAGGTGCATATATAGAGTTTTCAGGGGAGGTTAAATAGCTCACTAAAAGAAAATTATTTGCGTTTAAAAAATATTTAATTAATTAATATAATCAAAAGGCTAAAAAGTCGATTAATTCCAAATAAAGATACCCACAATTTTGCTAGCATTTAAAGTCAAAATTCCATTTTAAAATGATTGTTTATATATGAGTCCAAAATGAATAGGAAAACATATATCTCCATAAGCTAAAATGTATTTGTTATTTGAATAATTATTTCCTGGCAACCAACATAAAACCAATAAATAATTTATTTCTAATTACCGTTTCCTTTCAAATTATTTAATTATAGTGTGATTGGTAGTAATTTTTTTCTATGCACTTTCCGACTTAACTTCTAATTGATATAAAAACTGAAACAGGACTGAGCTATAAATCAGTCGATCGTCGTAAATATCGAAGAAAAGTCGCAGCTCGGAAGTGAAATTAAAAGTAGAAATGAGCCAAAGGAGGCAGTTGAATAAATCGGGCAAACTTAGTATGGTATAAGCGCTAAGAGGGTTTCTTCGGATAGACCTCCCCGCAACGATCTTGCGATGACCTTGACTGTGATCCATCGCTTCTTACAGGAGTCGGTGCCACCAATTATGGCCACTCGCTGGCATTTGTGCGATTAATTCCTTTATTAATCATAAATTGCCATAAAGGAAGGGAGCCAGCAAAGGGACCCGCAATTGTCGGTGGCTGCAATTGCCGCAGTTGGCAACTCTATTTATAGAGTCCTGAGGCCCACGGGCGGACTCATCCCCCCACCCCTCCTATCCACAACTTCACTGTTTATCTTTGTAGGTCTTGCCCCCATATGATCCGTCTGACCATAATTTATGTTATTTGACTTTTAAACTTGGACGCGAAGTTGGCAGAAGGCTTCCCATAATTGCAGGTTCTTCTCTGTTTGCCTCACCTCTTTTTGATAGTACACCTTTTGCACTTGGAAAAAATATTTTTAAATCAGGATAAGGGTTTTCAAATTGGAAATAAAACTACATTTTATATGTACATACTTGTATATAATTACAAAATCGCATTTCCTGCACACACAAACATACATATTTCATATGAACTTTAGGTACAACGAGTACTAAAAAATATTCTTTTAACAGCAGGATTTATTAATGTATTTTTGTTAGAAAAAAAACTTCTTGCAATACACCTTTTCGTAGACTCAATTTGCTCACTGCTTCCTTGACTGCTTGAGCGGCTTTTCAGCTAAGCTCGCTCATTAGTTGAATTGTCTTTTGACTTGTCACACACTCCACTTTATTGCACTCCACTTGCCTCCGCAAAACGTGACATATCGCAGACGGAGCGATTAACCCCTCTTGCTCCCTCTGTCGCTTATTAATCCCGTATTTTTGCATCTTCTTTGGTCGCTCTGCTTCTCCTTCGATGCAAATGCTATTAGCAGCAACAACAAACAAGTGCAAAATGTAATTGAATGGTTTTACTTACTACGGTTTCGCACGTCGGCATTTGCATCGCAAGTAGTGTGACAAAGGCAACCTAGATATCTACTTAAGTACGAGAACAGTGCTATTGTGTTTCTCGAAGAATTTTTCGGTGGAAAATGTTGAAGTGGAGATTCAAAAAAAAGGAGGCAAGAAATATTTAACTATTGGCAAAGATTTCGGAAATTGGTTTTCACTTGGTATAATTAGCTGTATAAATTTTGGAACGACTAAATTTGGCTGTGCTTTACGCGAGTGCCGATATTACAAAATTTCGAGAACTAAACTCCTTTTTTTCGTTAGACGTACTCCATATTCAATAATGGTTAAATTTCATATCATAACTAATTAAACAATAATATTATAAATCCATATAATTTTTTGGAAGGATTTTTTTTAATTAAACTAACGTTTGAAACAGATATCAATGGCTTCGAACAAAAACATTAAAAGTACATATGTTTGAAAATTATAGTTTATAAAAAGAAAAAACATTTTGTCTACCTAATATTGCTGACTAAAAAGTTAATGCATGTATGTACATACATACATATGTAGTTTGAGAGTCCCCACTGTGGAATATGTGCATTAGTAGTAGCAACTTAGCACGAAGCTTACATCACGGTACAGTTTTAACAAAAACTGGGGCTTAATTATCGTCGCCTGTCCCCAGTTCTTTACTCTCCTCTCCTCCCCACCCCTCCCTCTTCTCTTTCACTCCCACATATTGCTCCACTTTGCGATGCAATTACAACAACAGAAATCGGAGTTCACCCGAGTTACATGTGTGTACATATGTATGCTCATTTGTAATTAGAAAATACGATCTGCCGAGGGAATAATGAAAACAATTTGCATTTCATTCATGCGGAGTAAACGAAATGAGAAAAGGTCGGTGAAGGGGAAAGAAATCGTTGAGAATAACCATTATCTGACTTAACTCAAAAGTAAATAGTTCATAAATAAATGATTTATATAATTACCAACACGGAATAGAGAAGAAGAAGGCAATGAGCAACGGAACGAATAGATCAAACAAATTTCATAGTACCGGTACAAAATGCGCTAAAGGTTTTTAGTGAAATGTTATTGCTAGAAATTTTATTTCTATTATTATTTTAAACATTTTTTAAAATTTATTTTATTTTGAAATTTTAATCGTTAAAGATATTAATGTTGAATAGTTAAAAGTAGCTCAAGGTTTTTGTTTTTGAACTAGATAACAAAGAGCAGTGTAAAATAAAAATGTATGTTTACACATATTTTATTAGAATCCTATATTTAAAAGCAATTTATTCTTAAAATTATTAGACTATAATTTTGAAACAGTTTAACTTTAGTATAATAAAAATACAATTAAAATAATAAATTAACTTTATAATTAATTATATATGTAGTGCAAAAATACAATATAATTTTTTTTAGTTTAGTGTTTATTGATATTCAGTGTGCACTGTATACTAAAAATCGACAAAATATGTGTACATACATATATTAATATAAGTAACTGGCAGTGCTATTAATTTGAGCGCTGCTGTGTGGCCACACTTGATCGGCAGACACAAAGCAGAAAACAGAAAAGGAGGCAGGCGTCGGAGTCGAAGGGGGCGCCACAGGCGGCGAATATTTGTTCCAGTGGCCAACGCAGCGATTTGTGCGTCCGCCTCTTCTTCTTTCTTTTTCCTTAGAGCAACCACTGCCCCCTTTTCTATTTTACTACCATACTTTGTATGCCCTCTCTCGCCCCCCATTGATTCCAAAACGTTTTGTAATCTCTACCTGCATCGAAAAGTGGAGCAAAGAGGAAGGGAATTCTAGGGAGAGAGGAATAGGAAAAGGGGAAGAGATAGGAGGGTCTGGGGGTCACCAGAAGGTGAGAAAGGGTCCCTTCTCTTTATCCCCACCTGATTCATCACACCTTTCTTAAGTCATTTACCCTTTCCTCTACCTCCTCCTTTCACTCCTCTTTTTCCTTTTCCTTCTCCACCGTTTCCTTTCTGTTCTGTGTGTTTATGTTATCTTCGTGCTTTATGTAGGTGAACATTGCCTGCTTAAGTTACTACAGGGTATTATGGGGGATACTGGTTTGGTTTCTAAGATTAAATGGTTATTAAGAATAGGCCGCCAGTGGAATTTAGGTTGCCTTAGGCCATGGTTTCCAATTCCCATATGAACTAAATTAGGGAGTTAATGGCTTTTACATTCTTTACGTTACATGACATTTCTTCTAAGAAAAATTTACAGTACTTTAATCAACTATTTATTTAACTACAAGGTAGCTATTAGATTTAATTTAAAAACATTTAGGCTAAATAAGAAGCTAATGACATTCAATGAAAATTTCAGTTATTATTACTGTTTTAAGTTTTATTAGTTAATTAATCGCAATTCGTGAAAAGTTGTTTAACTGTATTTAAGATATGTACGTATTTCTTATCAGAAAGTAGGAGCATTCCAATCAAAAGGAACAAAAACTTTCCCATGGACAAGCGTCACATCCAGGTCGACCCTCGCTCTCTATTTGTTAGAAGAAGCTCATTTGCGCTCCCCTTTTTCACCTTTCCTTTTTCCATGCTGCGTTTTTGTTGTTGTGGTTTTTGTTGTTTCTATTTTCTCCTTTCTCTGTCTCTCTCTCGCAGACACACGCACTCACGCACACAAACGCGAACGAGAGTGCAAGTGTCGGAATTTGTAATGTTTCTGTGTCAAAAATCGAACAGCCGTCAACGATGAACCACCTGCGGGTGCATAAATTCAAGCTGGGCGGCAAAGATAATACCGCCATCGCCGATTTACCCCCAGCGGATAATACCAATAATAACAACAATGTCGGAAATAATAATCACAGTGGCGGAGCCAAAGGATTTCTGGGCAGGATCAAACGATATTCGGTGCTGGGAAATAAACTGGGACGTCGTCATCTTAGCAGTATGAATCTAAATCCGGTGAATAACGCAGCCGAAAATTCAGTTTCGCCCAGTAAGCTTCACACCGGCAGCTATGACATGACCGGCAGTCACTCGGATGATCATCGCCTGGAGATAGGAGCTCCGATTTTGATATCCACCACCACCCTGGATACGGATCGTTTTGATGTCACCGAGGCTAGACTCAAACAGATTGGCGGTGGCATTGCCCAGAACTCCAATATTGTGAGGACCTTGACTCCGAGAAGTTCGGATGAAGATGAGTTTGTGGACGCCAGGAGCACTCCGCAAGAATTGGAGAAGGAGGAGGATCTGCTCACCTTAAAAAACAAGGATCAGGACCATAACGAACCACAGCAGGAGGAGAAAAAAGATCTACAAGATATCGAGGAGCCAGATCATTTTGAGACACCCAAACATCAGGTGGAGGAAAAGGAGCTAGAAGAGATAGTTTTCCAGGTGGAGGAAAAGGAGCTAGAAGAGGTGGTTTTCCAGGTGGAGGAAAAGGAGCTAGAAGAGATGGTTTCCCAGAAAGTAATACCACCAAAAACCCCAGAACCCACTGCCATAGAACGTCCCGTTAGACGACCTCGAATTGGTCGTCAGCAATCCCAGTCCGTTCAGAACCTGCATCGCACCGAACTAAAGGTCTACCTGCACAAATCCAATTCCATGGCACTGGACATGAATGTTACGGCTCCGGCAAAACTCGTATTGGATCTGAATCTACCGGAGTTGCCAGAACTCTATGGGGCCAGCGAACTCAGTCTGGCGGCCAGTGATAACAAGGAAAATCGGCCAGTGGTAAACCTCCCCTCCCTGGAACGCTCACCCATACCAAATGGTGGCTTCTTGGCCCAACAGCCGCACTTTAAGAGCCTGGACTCGTTTCAGCTAAATGGCAATTCGCAGCAGAGCTCCCGCCACAGTTTGGCCTGCAGCAGCAATGGCGAATACGACTTTGACCTGAAATCAGTAAGCTATCAGAGCCTGAATGCCCAGAATCTGTTTGTGTCCATTGACGAACTGCAGGAGCTGTCGCGGCAGATCAACGAAACGGAGGATTTTGGCAAGGAAATCGATCTGGAGTACTGCACGCATCGCGATCAGTTGAGACCCAGTGAGCGCAGGATAACGCTGCTGAAGAACAAGAACCAAACGCTGATCAACTTCAATCACAACAAGGAGAAACTGCGGAAGGGCTGGCATGGCATGAAGCACTGGCTGGGCGAGGAGGGCTCCAAGATCAAGGAGGCAGTGCGTCAGCAGACACCGCTGAAGCGTCTGGCCCAATCACGGAGCAATCTCAACCAGTCCACGGCGGATGCCAGTCGCACGTCGATGTCGCCGGAACGGAGTCGCCGCGAAATGACCGAAAGCTGCGAGGATGTCACCGAACGCACCGAAATGGAGTCGTCCATGTCGCATCGGAACAGCGAGGAGGATCTGTCGCCGCATGCCAAGCGGTTCAAGGATGAGGTACAGATCCATGTAGTTGTTGTTGGTCTGGGGTTGATAAACGGGTGGGCTCATTTAGGTAAAATTCTTTTAGCTAAACCATATTTTTGCTATCAAAAAACAGGGACAGAACGGCTTCGAGGAACTACGGCGATATGTCAAACAGGGCGGCGACTTTAGCAAGGAGCTTATATTTGTCCTGCAGGAGAGGTGAGTTAGTTATGAAAATGTTAAAGCAATTGTGCGCATAAAAAATAAGTTTTTTTTTGTAAGCTAGTACCTTGTTTAAACTCTTTTCTATAATTTGTCTTAAAATCAAAATATTTAAAACAGTTGTCAAAATACAAACATTTTATTTACAAATTTGAACTCCGCCAAATGTAATTTAAAAGGCAACCAAAATTTTTTCGAATTTTAAATAACAATTGAAAAAGATAAAGTAAAAATAAATAAATAAACAATTTTAAATAAGACTGAAAATAATCAAATAGTTTTAGATTTTGGGTTAAACATTCATCTTTAAATTATTTATTAAATGACCTTTGTTTATAATTTCAGAGCCGACTCGGAACTGATCTACTCCAAGTCACTGTCGAAGCTGGCCAACAAGCTAAACAAGGCCGGCAGGGAAATCCCCGGGAGCGTGGCCGACGCCTGGCGTGGAGTGGCTACGGAGATGGAGAGCCGCAGCGACATCCATCGTCAGTTGGCGGCCTCGCTCACGGATGAGCTGGTCAAGCCCCTGAAAACCGTCGTGGAAGGACACCACAAGGCTCGGAAGGCGGTGAGTACTTGCCAACGATCTTTTTTGACGAAAAACTAATTTTAACTTAATTTTTACTAGATAAATTATTAAATTAAGAAAATAGTAAAATCCTAATAAAATTGAACATGCATTGAACAGCAACATTAAGCACAAAGCAAAGCCTAAACAATGTGTATGGACTTAGAGTTTATATAATGTATATTTATATATATATTATATTTATTTATATTTTTATTATATTAACGAGATCAAAGTATAATATATATTATAAACTTTAAAACACTTAGTTTGCGGAGTCCAAGACCAATCTAATGCTATCCAAAATATCCCTTAGGTGGAGAGCAACGTGGACAAGGCGGCGCGAGTCCTGGGCGAGTGGCGAGCCAGCGAGGCGAAGGCGAAGAAGGCCTCCCACACAGCGGCCCGCGAGAACGAGAAGCTACAGGACGCGATGCTGGACGTGCGCATCCAGAAGTCGCCGTCAATTGCCCTGCTGCACCAGGGTCCCAACAAGCAGGCAGCCGAGAAGGAGCTCAAGTCGGCGGAGAAGGATTGCGTGAAGCTGGACAATAAGCGCAAGAAGGCCGAGGAGGCGGTGAAGCGGGCAGACGTGGAATACTATACCCTGTGCGTCCGGGCGGAGCGAGCCCGAGTAGACTGGGAGATGGCCGTGCTCCGGGGAAGCGCCCAGTTGCAGAGCAGCGAGCAACAGCGTCTGGGCAACATGCACAACTTTGCCCAGCAGTACGCGCGTCTCATCTCCGATATGAACCCCATTCTCGGCGGGCTGAGCACCCGGCTGCAGCCTCAACTGGAGGCCTGCAATGTGGCCAAGGACATGCAGGTGGTGCGCCACATCCGCCGGAACTCGGAGGGACCGAGCGAACAGTTGCTCCCGGACTTTTACTGCGAACACACCACGCTGGCCATGAACCGGGAGCGACGCAAGCACGCCCTGATCAAACTGCTCCAGCTGGTCAAAACGGACCTGGAGCGGGAGCGACGATCCCGCGACGGATTAAGGGGCCTGTCGCAGTCGCTGAACCATCAGGAGCACCAGAACATCACCGATAAACTCTACCACGTGGGTTTCCCATTAAATCACACATTATAGTAGACTCTATTAAACAAGCTCCTTTGCAGATCCGCTCCATGCTGACCTATTTGGAGGGCGCCCGCCTTAAGCTGCACTCTGCCCTTTTGGAGCTGGACCACAAGCCCAGGACCACTCACCCACTGGCCCAGCACATTCAGGTGGGATAACGTTTGACATCAAACCAGTATTTTGAAATGTCTAGAAATTCATAACATTTTTTTTTTTTGTTTTGATACAAAGATTTAATTTTGGTATTAATCAGTTAAATCAGTGTTAAATTATATTTGGCATTTGTAGCTCTGTAACAAAGTTTTCCATGCAATACAATTTCTATCTATTGGAATCCGCAGATCACCCGTGACCGCACCGGATTGCAGCAGAGCATCCTGAAGGTGCCCAACTGGCTGAAGAATAACGACAAGTCGCAGACGCAGCAATCGACAAGTATGCTGGCGCACGAAGTCACTGATATAACCACTAACCACGAGGATGAGCTCCCCGATGAGAACTGCTCCCACCTGCACAGCAGCAGCAACAGCAATAACAGCAATAACAGCAACAATAGCAACGGCTCCTGCACGGACATCAGTTCGGTGGTGAAGCAATTCAACCGGAGCAAGAGCAACATCGAGACCAATTTTACCAGCCAACCAAAGATAATCTCGACGACGAATGCCGCGGTGGCCGCGTCCGTAAAGTCCAAAACTCTGGCCAATCTCCAGGATGGCCATCATCACAATCACCATACTCATCACAGCGATCGCGGCCAGGCGGATGGCGGCTCCAATCAGCAGGACTCCGATTTCGATGAGTTCAGTTCGCAGGACGAGGACGAGGAGCCGGAGAAGACCCAGCCAAATTCCAACCCGATCAACAAGCACCAAATGCAGACGCAGCATTTCTACCAGAATGCGCAGGATCTGCAAAAGAGCCAGAAGGACGGATCCGGTCCGATATTGGGACGCTGCAAGGCGCTATATAGCTACACCCCGAAGCTCTACGACGAGCTGGAACTGAGTCCCGGCGACATTATCGAGGTACATGCCAAGCAGGACGACGGCTGGTGGCTGGGCGCCCTGCGCAACCACATCGGCATCTTCCCGGCCACCTATGTGGAGGAGTGCGCCTAGATCTAGACGGGGATCACTGTCCCGCGATCCCTCCATATTTATAGTTGTTTAAGAGCGAGTGAGTGTGTGCGCGACTGCCAGTGGAGTGAGTGTGTCGTGGAGCGATTTGTTTGATTTGTATACAGGCCAGAATTCAGTTTTGAAACTGCCATTTAAATTTCACTTTAACTCAAACTTAAAAAACACAAAAAGTACACGGTTTCCAATTCATGGGGAAAATTTACCCAAACCAGTGCTACATTTCAGAAGAAGCAAACATAATTTGTACTCTGTGACCCCTTTTTGTTTTTTCCAATAAGCGGAAATTTTCACTTAAAGCTAAAATAAGACAAAACAAGAAACATTTAATTTCAGTTTGTAAATTTTTTCCACTTTAAAAAACATTTACATATTTCAAATTGAACAGCCATTGATTAAACAACAATTATAAGCTTAAGAGAAAAAACCTATATTAACCTCAATCAAAAGAAAAATTCGAGAAGACAGAAAATACTTCATTTTTGTTAAAACATTTTTTGTTGAAAATGAAAATATTTTGTTTTGCTTTAATGTTTATAATCTGCTTATATCTTCTTTAGCCACTGGCAAAAACCAACTAAGCAGATACGTTTTTTTGTAGTCAAGTAAAATAAATAAGTTGTTCAAACGAAAAGTATATAATATAATTGGAAAAAAATGAGGAAACAGAAATTACAAACCCTCTGCTTAAATATTTCTTAATTTCATTAACATTGACAGATTAACAAGTCAAGTTTTTTCGCAATAGAACCAGTTTTTAATATAATAACCACTAAACTCCAAAGCCAAAACACACCAGAATTAAGCCTATAATTTTAAATCCTGATTTATATTTTCCGAGCTATTTTATTTTGTATCAAACAAATCGGTCTACTTTAGTTTTACAAAGTTATTCGCAATAAGCATACGATGTAATTTATGAGTAAAGATTGTATAATTTTATTTTTTTTTTATTATTTTTGTAATTACCAATTATCTTTTATGTTTAGCGCCCAGTTCAGTCATTTACCATTTATCGATCCTGCACATTAACTTTAGGACTGGAAGACGAATGGTCCTCACCAATAAAAACAAACTCTTGTTATTCTATTATTATTATTTTTTATTGCATATACATAATGGAACGACATGCATATATCGATATATATTATTATATTCAACATGCGAAATCACAAATATTTTTTTTTTCTCGTTTTGTAATTACATTTAATAAATTAAAAGTATACATATATATATTTGTAAAATATTAAAAACAAAAAAAAGAGTTTTGTGTGTATCAACTCTAGTAATATCGAAAATCGTGTATTATTTATCGCCGAAGGGAGGAAAGAGTCCTAACTCACTGGTCAAGTAGGAAAAATGTTTGTGGTACCACAACTTCAAACCCCAATGGTACTATGTAGTAAAGGTAAGAGTAGAGGAGCTGTTGACCAGTTAATGTGTTTATCCACTAACCCTAATCATTTTATATAGATTAAATATAGCGCAACAGTATCCAAAACACGGTTATTTTGACTGTATAAACAGTGTACACTTTATACCAGCAAAATCATGGATACCAAACAAAGAAGTATTAATTTTTAAAAGGTTTAGCTTTCGGTACTTCTTTACTGATTTAAAATCAGAAAAATGTATATATTAAAAACATTTGTCTATGAAAATGTTTCAACCAATCGTTTTGATTAGTTATAAGAGAGTTTATTTGCGTACAGCTGTTAAAAATAATAGTAGTATGGCTATTTAAGGGATAACAAAATATGTTTTAGTTTTTTTTTTCAACAATTTAGAAACTTTGAACTTCTGAACATCTGTTTTTAATTACAGAACTGAAAAATTTGTAAGTTCTTTACATTTGTATATAGTATTACATTTGCAAGAATTTATATTTACTTTTGAACTAATTTAGCATTCATGGAACAAGCAAATACTACTATTATTTTAAAATCATCTGTTGTGGAAAATAAATATATATGTTAGGGGCAGTTTCCCCATGGTTTCAGCGACGATAGCACCATTGCAATCCCCCAAGCCCCTTCAGTTGCCATTGGTGGCCTCCAGTTGACCAGATGCTGCTCCCCCGCTGTCCAGGCAGCGCAGCTTCTGGTACATGTGGATATAGTGGGCCTGCAGCTGCTTCTGGTAGCCCAGGACCTTGTCCTTCTCGGCGCACCACTGGCGCTTCTCCAGCTCGAGATTCAAGCGAAAATCGTCCAGTTTCTGGCGCAGCTTGGCTATATCCTCCGCATATGTGGTGGACTCCTCGATGAGGGTGTCCAGCGTTTGCTGCGGCGCCTGTCCCTGATCCACTTGCAATCGCTGCACCAGGACATCCAATTTGGGCAACTCCTGGGGACATGTTGCTGCTGCCGGCGATGCTGTTGCTGTTGCTGTTGTGTACTTTCTTGTCTTCTGACAGATCTCGTTCAGGTTGTCCAACTGCTGCTTAAGTCGAGTGTACCGGCCGCACGGCTCCTCGCCGTACTCATGGGCAATGGCCAGATCGGAGAGCTCCTTGCGCAGCTTGGCCAACTCGCTGGTCAGGGCTCCAATCACCTGATCCTTCAGCGAAATGATTTTCTGCAATTGCTGCTGGTCAGGCTGATTATGTTGTTTCTGTTGCTGCTGTTGCTGCTGTTGCTGCTGTTGTTGATGGTTGTGTTGCTGATGATTATGTTGCTGCTGTTGCTGTTGCTGATAATTGTGTTGCTGCTGTTGTTGCATCTGTTGCTGCTGTTGCTGATTGTTATGGTGTTGCTGTTGATGATTGAGTTGCTGCTGTTGCTGCTTCAGTTCCTTTTGTGGTAGCTGCTTCTGTTGCTGTTGCTGCTGTTGATATTGCTGATGTTGCTGTTGCAACTCCGGCTGTTGCTGTTGCTGCGGTTGCTGCTGTTCCTCCTTCGCCTGCTGCTTTGGTTGACTTTGGCTTGTGGTTGTGTCACAGGTATTGCTGCTGCTGCTGCTGCTGCTGCTGCTCCTGTTGGTGTTGCTGCTGTGCTTCAGGCTGACAATCGCATGATCTTTCATATTGATTTCCAGCTGCAAGAAAATTAATAGTTTATAGTTTTTCATCGTTACTAAGACCTACTTTCTCTATTGAAAAGCATGTAACTTGGCTTAATGCTATAAAAAATAAAAACCAAGCGCAAACGCACAAAGAAAATAAGAGGGTAGTAAAAAATCACTAAAAACCATTAAGCAATTCTCAAAAAAAGATTATTTGTATGTTCAAATAAATTGTAAATTGTAAACAAAATTAAACTACATAAAAAAATATAATAAACTTTAGGAAAGGAGTAAAATTTTTAAAATAAACAGAAATTTTTATGCAAAAAAAATATAACTGCCATAATAATGTGACAAATTTTCGGAAAGCGGTATAATTTGTAAAATTGTTTTAAATTGTTATGCTTGGAAAACCTACATGCGCCTCCTTGAGCTGCGTCTTGAGTAAAGCTATCTCCCCATTGCGCTCGCAGACGCGCCACTCGCTGTCCTCCAGTTGGTGACGCAGTGCGTCCACCTGCTGCTGGAGCCCCTGGCCGGCGTCCCTGGCCAGATCCAGTTGCTGCTGCAGCCGGTTGACCTGCTCCGACTGGCGCAGCTTGTGCTGCTTCAGCTGAAATTGCTGCAGTCCGAGGAGCTGCTCCATCTTGCGCAGCTTCAGCTGGCACTCCCGCTGCTGGCCCTCGTAGAAGAGCCTCAGCCGCTGCGTCTCGTGCTCCCAGTACACCTCCTTGTCCTGACCGCAAAAAAAAAACATATACGGATTATTGAGGGAGCATTAGAAAAGTGTTCAGAGGGCGGGCGACTGCCTGCTTAACCTTTTGTACTTGGAAAATTACTTTCTCATTGTGCTCCATGGCCTGTCGCAGGTACGAGAGCTCCGAGTCGCGATCCTTCAGCGCCGCCTCCAGTTCCGAGATTCCGGAGTCCGAGGGCGAGGGCGTCAGGTCGCTGCTGCCCACCACTGTGCCGCTGCTCTTGCTGCAGATCAAAATAATAACTTTATAGCCGTACAAAATGTATGCATAATTGGACAAACCTGCTGGCCCCATCGGGTCTGTCGTGGCTCCCAGTACTCAAGAGGTCAAGGGTCAGGGCATCCTCATTGCTGGAGCGCTGCAGTAGACGATGATTGCGACGCCGGGCAGCCAGGTGTCGCAAATCAGTGGTACCTGTTCATAAAAGAGTTTGCTTGTTTTTTTATAACTATTTGATTTTTGTACAAAATTAAAAGAAAATTAAAATGGAAGCTAATTTCTTGAAGCCAAAGCAGCACAAAACACTGGCTGTGCGTTTTATTGTGACCCGGTGTAATTTTTTTGCAAGAAATCCTGTTATACTGCTCAAAACCCAAAAAACACCTTTTAAAACTACGTTTTTTATTTAAAAACAAATTTTATTGTTTGTTAATTGACCGGAATGGATTTTAGAAGCCGCCAGCTGCGCAAAACATTAACTGTTATGGCTATGCGTCTTATTTTTTATTTCTCCGAAGACCCAAAAAGACCGTTAAATAATCAGTTTTTGTATCAAAACCCTGGGAAATAATGGTCAAATGTTGGAATGTCATACACCGCTGAATTCGTCATAAAATTTCCAATCGAATGGCATTCACAGCTAAAATTTTTTCAGATTTTCAAATTTCTGCAAAAAATGATGATGTACCCCCTTACAAAAAAGTCAGAAATTTGGACATATGTTAATTTTTGAAAAAGACGCTTTTCAAAATTCGGTTTTTGTGTCAAAACAAAAGTAATTGTTTTCAATCGATCAGGGATGAATGGTATGGGTTGCCAGCTGTTCAAAATAGCAACTCTTTTGACTTTGGGTCTTATTTTGGCAAAGTTACAACAAAAATACTCTTCAGAAATAATTTTGTTTGAAAAATCGCCAAAAATCCCAAAAAACACATTAAAAACTTGGTTTTTGTGTCAAAACCCTGGGAAATAATGGTCAAATGTTGGAATGTCATACACCGCTGAATTCGTCATAAAATTTCCAATCGAATGGCATTCACAGCTAAAATTTTTTCAGATTTTCAAATTTCTGCAAAAAATGATGATGTACCCCCTTACAAAAAAGTCAGAAATTTGGACATATGTTAATTTTTGAAAAACACGCTTTTCAAAATTCGGTTTTTGTGTCAAAACAAAAGTAATTGTTTTCAATCGATCAGGGATGAATGGTATGGGTTGCCAGCTGTTCAAAATAGCAACTCTTTTGACTTTGGGTCTTATTTTGGCAAAGTTACAACAAAAATACTCTTCAGAAATAATTTTGTTTGAAAAATCGCCAAAAATCCCAAAAAACACATTAAAAACTTGGTTTTTGTGTCAAAACCCTGGGAAATAATGGTCAAATGTTGGAATGTCATACACCGCTGAATTCGTCATCAAATTTCCAATCGAATGGCATTCACAGCTAAAATTTTTTCAGATTTTCAAATTTCTGCAAAAAATGATGATGTACCCCCTTACAAAAAAGTCAGAAATTTGGCCATATGTTAATTTTTGAAAAACACGCTTTTCAAAATTCGGTTTTTGTGTCAAAACAAAAGTAATTGTTTTCAATCGATCAGGGATGATTGGTATGGGTTGCCAGCTGTTCAAAATAGCAACTCTTTTGACTTTGGGTCTTATTTTGGCAAAGTTACAACAAAAATACTCTTCAGAAATAATTTTGTTTGAAAAATCGCCAAAAATCCCAAAAAACACATTAAAAACTTGGTTTTTGTGTCAAAGCCCTGGGAAATAATGGTCAAATGTTGGAATGTCATACACCGCTGAATTCGTCATAAAATTTCCAATCGAATGGCATTCACAGCAAATTTTCAGAATTTAAAATTTTGCAAAAAATAATGAAAAAAAAAAACAATTGGACATTTTTGAAAAAACGGTCTTTAAAAATCGTTTTTTTAGAGCAAAACAAAATGAATTGTTTGTAAATCGACCGGAAAGGATTTAAGAGGTCGCCAGCTGTACAAAACAGTAGCTGATACAACAAAAAGACTCTTTGGAAATGTTTTTGTAAACTTGGCTGAAAACCATTCATCGCATTTTCCAATTGAATAAAAAATATATTGGCCATAAATTAAAACGAACTTAATCGTGAGCACTTTACCTCTTAGATTGTTTATAATTAATCGCTCAATGTCAAGTGACTACTTCATCTAGATAAAGCGGAATGTTAACTGCTACTCACTGCCAAATTTCTGGGCGACTGCGGTGGGTAGTGGGGCAAGTGAAGGCGTCGATCCGTAGCCGTACCGCTCGGCCCCGCTCCCCGCCTGTCCGCCCTCCGCCGACAACTGCAGCGCCTGATGTTGCTGATGTTGCTGTTGCTGCTGTTGCTGCTGTTGCTGTTGTTGCTGCTGTTGGTGTTGCAGCTGCAGCTGTTGCTGCTGCTGTTGCTGCAACTGCAAGTGCTGCTGGTGCTGCTGCTGCTGTTGGCAGGCAATGCGATAGTCCGGCTCAAACGGAATGGGCTTGAAGGCGATCGGTCGCAGAAAGTTGCCGCTGGTCTGAAAAGTCAAATCAAATTGTTAGGACAGCCAAAAATCCGGGCTAAATATAACTTATTAAAGCATGGAAATATGTCTTATCATTAACAATATTTAGGTCATTATTTCTACTTATTAGTTTACTTACAATACATTGATGAAATATCAAAGCTAAAAATGAATTGAATATCTGTCCGAAATGTATGGTCACAAAATAGTGAAGCTAAAAGTGTATCTAATATCTGTTTAAAACAGATATGTTACACAAATAAAATTTAAATTCTGATATCTAGACCAAACCAAATTTGTAAAGCATTATCTAATCATTATATGATATATCATTTATATATTTATCTTTCTGTGTATAATGTAAGCCATACCTGTTCCGGCTCGCCCAATTGTTGTTGCTGCTGCTGGCGACTTCCGCCGGCAATGGGCGTGGTCCGCCTCTGCTGTTGCTGCTGATGTTGCTGCGGCTGCGGCAATGTTGCTGGCAGAGATTGCATGGCCTCCTCCTCGGCCCCGCCCCCACGGCCATCGCCGCCCCCGCCACCCACGCAGCTGCGACTCAGCTCAAACATCTGACGTATGTTCTGAAACTTGCTGCGCATCTGCAGGCCCATGCCCATGCCCATGCCCACACCCACGCCCACTCCCAGACCCACGCCCTCGTCGTCCAGATTGCTGTGGCTCCCAAATTTCTGGCTCAGGCGGCGCTGCTCCTGTCGCGACTTCAATGTGCCCGTGTGGAAGGCCTGCCCGTGTCCTTGACCTTGACCATGGCCCTGCCCAAAGTGCAGCAGGGGTGATCCCAGGGAGGACTGACCCAAGCTAGGAGTGCTCCGCAGCGTCAGCGGAGCGTTGTTCTCCAGCGAAACGCTGCGCTTGTGGCCGCGCTTTCCCGCCGGCAGACTGAGATTGGAGCACCCGCTGCCCCCCAAAACCGGCGGAGTTCCGGGTGGTGGGACGACTGCATGGGCCGGCATCGCCATGTGCGTGGCTGCCGACATCCTGATCCCGAAGAGATCACTGAAACGGTGGAAAAAAACCCTGGTCAGATAATTCAATAATACTTGTATAAAATATGAATACAAATTAAATTTTTCTTTAACTGTTGTCTTAAAAATAATATTGTTTGATTCCAGCATATTAAATATTTATTTCATAGCAAATGTCCGATTTTTACTCAAACTTTTGACTGGAATTAATATACTACAAGGGTCTTAAAAATAAAAAATAAATATAAAATATTGTTTTATAATGTTAGATTCCAAAACTCTCATTTTCTTAAGTCGTAAAATAAAATAAAAATATGTACATAATGAATTTAAAGAAATTTAATACTTTTAAATCAGTTTATATTAACAACATATCATTTCTCTTATGAGAAAATAGTTTTGAAGGCTGGAAAGTATTTTTCGCGCTAACCCATAAATATAGGCTTCTGTGTATAAATGTTTTACCTCGCTTGGAGGACTCTTAAAGTTTTTATTTTTCATTTATTTAAAAGAACCACCTTCTAATTAACTTTATAATTATTAGCAAGCTTCAACCGGGGGTTCCACTTGTCTAGGTCACCTTTCAACCAGTCTCTCCTATTTATCTTCGAAATCTCAATAGTTCTCACATGGGCCGTCGTTTCCTTAACCGAATTGTGACCTTGCCTCATTGACTGTTTCGAACATGCAAGCAAATTAATAAGACAAAGGCAAAAGAGGCGAGTGAATAAATTAATGGTGCCCAATTTATCAGCTAATGATGTTGGCCAAAAAGAGCTGCGTTTGCAGTATTCCGCCTGCGGGGAGTTTATCAATATTGAATTTGAAAGTTTATGGGAATTGTCCAAAGAAAAAAGTTCTTTAAAATTAAAAAACCAATAAAACAAATAAATAAATAAATAATATAATTAAGCTAATATTTAAGCTTTCTCTAAATCTTTCCCTAGCTTTTGTTGTTTTTTTAGGGCTTTATTTTAATGAACTTCGATAATGATGAAAGTTCTTAAAAGTAGATTTTACTTTAATTTTTAATTTTAACTCTTTTCTACAGCATTTTGCATTCTTTCTGCAGATCATTCTCTTGAGTTTTCTTGATGTGCCCCTCAATCTCTAGTGCTATATTTGAATGTCCTTTCCCAATGATAAGTTCTTGAGTGCAGAAATTAATTGAAGCTATTGTAACATTTTCGTCGAATCCCTTTCTGAATTTCGTGTTCTTTCTCCAGATCTTTCTCTGGCTCTGTCGCCAGGTCTTTCTCCATTCTTCTCACATTCTCTGCGGCTATTCTCTGGCATCGTTCCATTTTCGCACGCTACTCGCCAGCGGTTCGAGTGCTTTTTTGGTGGTCCACGATGTTTGTCTTGGTTGGCCAAGGAGATGGTGGTTCAAATGGAGATGGAGATGGAGATGGAGATGGAGATGGAGATGGAGATGGAGATGGAGAGGAGGCTCCCCTCCAAAAAAAAAAACCCGCTGCCATTAGTGGCTCTTCGATCTGCTGGCCAAGCCCAAGACTTGCATTCATAAAGTCGATTCTAACGGTCTCCGCAGCTGGCTCACTGCCACTTTCTCATTTCTTGTCGCACGACCCATATTTTTACAACAATTTCCATCTGTCCAACTGGCCAACTCGTTCAGGCCAAGATCGCGGATCGCGGATGGCGGTTGGCGAATGGTGGATCGCGGATCGCGGATCGCGGATCGCGAGGCACTTGTAAGGTTCTGCGGCAACTGGTTTTTTTTTCCAAGCCTTCGCATTTGCTTAGTATTTCCCCAGGCCTCAAAAGATTTTTCCCCCAGCCCAAAATCAAAGTGGCAAAACCAGAGATTGGGGCTAAGGTTAAGGTCACACAGTGATGTCCCCTTTTTTGAGATCAGAGGCTCTTTATTTATGGCAGGTTATTTTCGCAAACTGAGTTGCCAGTTGGCTGAGAGGTGGGTCTTCTTGGGACAGGGAGTAATTTACAGCCAAGTTGGTTCACACATTTTCAGGTGAGGGTTAAAGGTTTGTTGTGCGCTGTGTTTTGCTAAATTTCGAAATGGCCAAAACGTTTTGCAAGCACACGCAATTTGTTGAAAATGTCACAAGCAATTTAAGTAGCACTTCTTAAAATGCTTGGACCATTAAAGAAAATGTACAAAATTATATGCAATGTCTTTATATCATTAGTATGACCCATATAGTTTTGTATTTTGAAATAAAAAGTTTCCAATTCATTTTTAAATAATCTAATGTTAGATTTTCCTTTCCAAATAACTCTATTTTTTAATAACTAAACGATGTCAATGCCCAGAATCAGACTGCAATAGGTCCATTAAACTGCTCTCATTCATTACTAGTTTCCTGTTTCCCGGAATTGTAAGCTGTAAAGTATTGCCATTGTCGATTGTTGTTTTATCAGTGTAAGAACTGGTTCCATTGCTGCTCCAGATATCGGTAGCCAAGTGCTGTTCGTGGTGCAACCCCCGTCCACAATACAAACATCGACATCAAAATCGGTTTCCCATGGCCGGCGAATATATATGATAGCATTTCCTTGGCGGCAAGTATCTCTCACCATTTCCACGCCAGCTAACTGTTAAACACTTGTATTAAGTCGAAACGGTTAGCTAACTGTCAATCAAGCGATCGCGAACCATTGAAGCTCATCGGCAGCAGGTTGTGTATCCCCTATTACCACGTATCCATGTGCAGTTCGGGTCGCAAAAACAGCACTTGTATCCATTACATTACATCACATAGTTCTTAAACAAAATATACAATGTCCGTATTTGAGAGTTTAATTTAATTACATTTATGCATCTTTTTGATATTGAAAAGAATTTCGTTTTGGAAGTGGAAGGGTAAAGTCTAATACTTTATTAATCTTATTATTGTATCAATAAAAACTAACTTTTATATTAATTGTTGCATTAAAATATAGATAAGGTGCTAAAACTAGGGCTTTAACAGTGGTGTTATCCTTCAAAAGTAATTTACTTAAGTATACCCAATAATTGCATGAGCTTAGATCACAATTTGACGTATTGCACCATTAGGCCTATTACTCTGACCACCGCTGTGAATGCGCCAGCATTGTGTCTTTCTACCTTTGTGTGACCATTGTGTGGCCTGGCTTTTGTACCTATTGGCTTGTTAAATGGCCAGCTATTTTTACGGTGAGTGGGGGGCAGGGGGGTTGGGGGGCTGGGGGTTTGGGCCCTGCTGCAACCGGGCTGGAAATCTTAGACTCAAACAAAAGCCGCCGATCGGCGACAATTTCCAACGGCAAGACGACGTCGTTAAACTGCCAATGTAATTTATTTACTTCGCCTTGCGAAATACACGTCGAAACATTCACAAATCACATTAGCAGCCAACTGTTAGATTGCCTGCGAAATGTATGTGCAAAATTGTATTCTCTGCCAGGGTGCGGAGAAAAACGAAATACGAAATACAAGATACGAAAAATTATGGCCAAAAACCGAAAAGCCGAAAGTCAGAAACCCGTTTTCGCGGCCAGTTCTTGATGGTCATTTGGAAGTTATTTTGTGCCTTTTTTTTTCATCTTTTTCTTTTATTGTCTTCGCCGTTTTGAAAGTTTCTATGAATGAAAGTCTTTAAAGGCAGGCCGGATCATAATAACAGATCCGCATCGATATTCTCCGATATTCTGCGCCAAAAAAGAAAAATATTAAAAGCCGAGTATCTTGACCCTTGCAGAGAATGCCACGCGGCGTATGAGTAATGTGCGTTGCAGGGGGAAGTCGTCATCCCGATTCGAATACAAAAAAGAAAAAAAAAACTATAACCAAAACCACGAACTGGTCAAACTTGGCCGGCTGGTGGGGTCCGAGATTAGCCAATGCTTTTTCCCACGCTCGCCACTTCGCAGTTTTATGCATACTGAGTGCTAACTACCTTCGTTTCATATATATCGCACTGGGTACAGTGGTTTAACTTGAGGTTAACTCTAAAAGTTAATGGCAAGTTGAATGCACCCGCCGATAAGATAGCGATTCGATTCGATTCGTTTCGTTTCGTTTCAAGTGGGTGAAATAGTGTCACTGGCCGGCATCACAATCAATTTTGTTTACTCGCTTTAAGTGATCATTTTTTTTTGGTTCGTTGTGCAACTTTAAATGGAAAGGGTTTTTCCGGGACTATATCAGACTATTATTGTTTTTTTTGGTAAAATGTTGCCACACAACGGTGGCCAAGAATTTCTTTTACCATTCAACAATCTTATCGAAAATGAGCTACTTGTGGCTCTCCAAAAGTTTGAAATCTATATCTATATATGAAAACTTAATGTAGGCGTACATTTAAATGACATGTTTAGTAAAATTTACCAAGTAGATTATTTTATATTATTAAAAATGTAATAATAAATGCTGATATAAACAATTTAAGCTAAGCTATCAGCTATTACTTCAAAAACGCTTTCAATGTACTATTTTTGGTGCAGGCAGACCGAAATCATTCAACCAGAGACCCAAAACTCAATGAATATACACTTGCCCAAGAACTCGTGAGTCACCTGCACAATTTCCGGCAATTTTAAGCAATTTCAAGCCCACTGTGCAATGCGATTTCAGCTTTGTTTTGTTTACTTTTCGCTAAGCATTTTTTTTCCTGCCATTTTGCTGGCTTTTTGCATTCGCTCGGGTATCTCAAAGTCCGCCAAAGTGTATATTGCATGGTGAAAATGCCGCCGAGCCGGGGTTATTTATTGTCAATTGTGAATTTTTAATTGAATTCATTTCGACAAGAGCCGAGCGAGATAATTGCAATCGAAGCTGGAAACGGAATCGAAAATGGTAGAAGGCGCTGGATTTTTGAGCCGTTGCGCAGTTGCGACCGAAAGACGAAACTAAAAACCAAAAGCCGAAAATAAACAACAAAATTGTATAAGCGTGACGAAAGCTTAACTTTTCATTTCTTTTTCTTCATCATCTTTTTTTTTCCAGGCGGCTATTATTGTAGAGTTTTTCATTTAGACGCAATCCAAGTGAGACCGATATGCATTTCAGGTTTGCCTTATTTCTAT